TCTTTCCAAATGCAATGTCATAGGTTGTTGATTTGAATATTTTATAGAGTCAATTTTGTAAGCACTGAGCAATATGAATAACTGTCAACCTATCATATCGGTGCAAATGAAGGTTAGTTCTGTCGTGCTTTTGATCACTGTAAAAAGTAAAAAGGTAAAATGAAAAGACATCAGTTTTATTAAGTTATATTTGCTTAATTAGCACAGAACTTCTAAAACAGTTCAATTCAGTGCCGCCAGCACACTGTTTCTACAGACCTTTTGCTTTAACCAGCACAAGTTTCATATCATTAATTTCAGTGCTTAGTTCATATGGTATAAACTTTAGCTAAAGAGTCTGCATACATGTATATCTGTGCAATGCATTTTGATATTGGTTTTTCTGTGTTGCTGGGACTGCTCTTCAGAAGAGGCCGCATCATTTCTTGGGGGTTCAGAGCACAGATCCCTTCTAAGGGCATCTAAACACTTCAGTGGTTGTCCTCTAGCCTCTACAGCTAGTAAAACCTGCTGAAAGTAGATCACAGTACCGTCATGGGCCTTGTTTCCCAGGCTATCTGGATTTGAGGGGTGTGGGTGGGTTTGTTTCTGCATTCAATTGGGGACCTTGAACAATAGAGGACAATAAGGTACCCGATTGACAGAGGGTCCCCGATTGACAAGTGTGTACAAAACATATGGGTGGTCTTGTAAAAAAGTTAAAGTAGAAACAAAAGAGGAACAATAGGGGGTCCCCAGTTGCAGGCAAATACGCACTTGTGTGTGTGTGTGTGGGGGGGGGGTCTTGCCATGTGCCAGCCAAGCCACAACACCCCTCCACCAAAGTAACACTTCAAAGACAGCCGCCACAAGCTACTGACAAGTTACTGACAGCTGTCACTGATATTATATGCTGGATAACATAGTCTGTTAAGGTATACTAAATAACAGAACATAAAACTTGTGCCAGTCGATTAAATTGTAAACACTGTGTGATAAAATTATGGGTTAACTTCCATTTTTATGGGTAATGTTTTGTCCTTTTTTGTAATGTGAAAAATGTTATGATTGTCATAGGTTGTTTAAAATAGCGCTCTATGCACAAAAGCTCATAACTTGCACTCAAAGAGCATAAATGATAAAAAAAGGTGTTTAAATTAAAATGTGAAGTGAAAAGTGACTTTAGTCTTTCTGTAGACTTGTGCAGTACGCCACTGGTAAGATACCGAATGGTGGTGCGCTTTGCTCCATTCGTGAAAAATAACTGCAATAAAAATATCAAATGATTTTTGTGACGTCACTCTTTTGTTCAAAGTGTAGACTATTTTTGTTTTATCTACGGTTACTGTAGATCCGTAACAAAGCTGCAGTTATTGTCGTTTCATATTAACGAGGAGATTACCCACATTGCCCCCCCCTATTTCAGTCAAATGCATTGTGACCGGAAGGGTGGAGTATAATGGCTTGGCGGCGTGACTTTCATTCTACCTGGCCGAGACGCTGATTATCCTAGGTCCTGTAACAGGCACAGTGGGCAAATTTCAGGGATATGAGGAACACCCACACTCCAGCCGTGTGTGTGTTTGCCTTTCTCCACAGAAAATGACGTTTATTTACCTCTCTTTTTTTCAGGATCAATGCTTTATAAAGCAAGATTTTCAACAAAGATTTGAACTAAATGTTTTCTATTTCTGTATCCCTTTAAGGTAAGCGTCGTCCACATTGAGCGCACAGTCTAAACTCCGACTCATTTATCAACGCTCTTTGAAGATTTATATCCATATCCATGGGAAACCAAGAAATATTAGAAAAACAAAGGGAGAAAAGTACATTGAGGCGCATGAGCTGTGTGAAAGCTTAGCAGACCAACCAAGAAAAGGTCAATGCGGCAGCTGTGCAGTGAGTTCATCTTAATAATTATGTCTTCATTTACTTTTTTATAATCTTTACTAAAAACTTTAAAGGCACAAATTTAGACTGTTTAATACGAATCATTTCTAGCACTTTATTTCATACTTAAGGGCAGAGACTACCTTTGTTTTTTGTTACACATCATGCCAAGACCTTGTACACAGGTCTGTCAGTTATGAGCCTTGTGTGTGCAGGCGTGGCATACTGTACACTGTACCTACATGTAATGTACATGTAGAGTGGACCTCTGCACAAAAGAAGTCCATGCTTAATTCTTGAGGCCGAAAAAGTCTCCGGTTTCTGGTCACCGCGTGCGTCGCCGTAGACCAGCACGTCGGCAAAAATAAAGATTTTTTAAAATTTGCATAAAACAATTTCCAAAAGCCGCCAAACTTACTTGATCGTCAGGAATTCTGTGACCGCGTAATTTTAATGTGTTTTGATGGGTGGAGTTGAGTAATATGTCAGTGAAGGAATCCCCCTAAGCTCCATACATTTAAGTCGGACACTCTTATCGTGTATCTTTACACGAAGGCCTTGTCCAAATGGGTTGGCTGCTTGATATTATGCATGATTCTATGGGAACTAGTAGTGGATGCATGCAGTGGCGATGGACATGCATCACGTTATGACAACTATACATGTAACAACTTATGCATTGTCACTTGCCACTTAGAGTGAGAGGAGATTTTATTTTCCGAGCTTAATCTTTTCCCCAGTATTTTATATGCAGCTTGTGTCTTATAAGCTAAAACAGAAAACAAGTGCACAGTATATCATTTACCTTCTTCATTTTGACTCTGGAGCTGAACTCTTTCATTTATATTTTTTCGTAGGCTACTTGACGTGCAATTTGTTTCCTCAAGCTAAAGAAAAAAAAACAAGGTGCAAAGAATGTCGTATACTGCTTTCTCGTGAGAATTTCATTTCAAACCGGAAACTGGAGCTGAACATTTATTTTTTCACATTTAATTTTTCCATGGTTGTGCTATTGTATTTTATCAAGCTTAATCTTGCCAAGCATAGAGGCCTCGTTTGAGTGAAATGACTGAAGCCATTGTCTCTCGTCATATTTTACGGTCTTTTTATTAATTCAAAGTTGTTAATTGACACTTTTCATTGTAACAAGGCCATCCGCTCTGAAGTATATGCGCATGTACACCCAACTTAAGGGGAAAAAAGAGGGGGGAAAAGCATCACCGCACCACTTTGGACTAAGCCCATGACCAGAAACCAGAGTCTTGTTTTGTGCTTTTGCTTTAACTTCATGTAATTTGAGCGTCATAGTGTTCTAAATTGTCCAAAGTATATTAGATTTCTTGAAGTCAGTCATCCTTGATAGAACCTCAGAGAGCCCGATTTGGTGAGCTAATTTTGCCCATTTTATTATCTGTTAATCTGAATTATTATTTTGAGAGCAAAGTGACTTTTGAGCCCAGTTTCTGCAAAGCTTTTGTGAAGTTTTGTCACTTTTTTTATTACTTTTGGGTGTTTTTATGTATTTACAGATTGCTATCTCAGTAACTTTATCAGTTGCACCCATCCTAGTCACCTGGTAAAAGTTACAGTGTCAAAAAGCTCAGTCTGCCAAGTGAGATTGTTGATTGTGAATATCAACAAGTTGGGATTTTTGAACTTGCACTGCACCTCATCTCAGAAGTCTGAGAGGTTAACTTCTTTGTTAGTTAGCTGTCAAAAGTTTGAATCACTGTAACTCCTCTAGGGCACAAGTGAGTCCAGAGGTAGCCACAATAGCAACCAAAAAGCAATCAAGAGCATTATAGAAAGTAGTGGACTACTGATGCAGTTGATACAGTTGTGGTCATCTATTCCTGGATCCAAGTCGGGGAGCCCCCCATCTGATATCCCACTTTGGATAGGATAGTCAAAAGACTGTTTGGTTTATTATCAGTATTTCCTCTTGACGCATCTAAACGGTTGTCAGACAGCTTTGGGCTTTGATGTTGTCTTGGTCTTGAAACTGCTCAGCATTGGTTGAAAGAGCTGATACGTCTGGTACTTGTGAGCAGTTCCTCTGTGGCTGTCAGCTTATGTTGATATTCTTCCAGCACAAATCTGGTGAAAAAAAATAAAGGTTTTGTTTTGCAGCTTGTTCCAGCGGTCTTGAAAGGATCTCTGAAGGTCCAGACAGTAGTGCAGACGTGGAGGTCGTACTCTGGTTTCTATGTATGACAGAGGTGTGGAAGTCTAGATGACCTTGGACAGGAATCAATCTTGTCAGGTGGGTGGTTTGAAATTACTGCATGGTAACACTACACACACTTGTAAAGTTGATGGTGCTTTAACACAGCTCTCTACACGCACTCAGGGGGCCAACTGTAGTCTTTCAATTGATGAAATGTCCGAACTCATAAGTAAGGTTGATGCTTCTTATAAAGAGAAAAAATGAAGAATGCTAACTAATAAAACATTCAGAAACTTTATAAACCCATCAAATGATTCCAAACTTGACAAATTGCTGCCTTTATTTTGCTGAACAAAGAAAGAAAAACAGTGACTGCAGTCATTAGAGGGTACAAAAATGCTTTATTCAGGCACTACATAAACAAGTAATGAAGGTTCATATTCTTGCAATGAAAAGAAAAAATTGTATTTGAATGAAATGTTCCAAGTCATCCAAGATTAATTTTCACAGAACTCAAGTTCAACAGCAGTTACTTCACAAACTGTATACAGTAGAAGTATTTTAATTCAGAGAAGACAAATGGAATGTGAACATCTGTCTGCCTTAAAAACCCTTAAACTATTCTGCTGTGAAATTAACCCCCAAGTGCTTTTTACTCAGATATTTTCAGGGGATAAAAGGGCTAATCCTGGGAGTTTTCATAGGGATTTACAGAGTACTGAAGAGTAACATCATTAGAAGTAGGAAGTTCAGTACAAACAAATGTAGTATGTGCACGTATTTGGTCACATTCTGTTTCTTGCACTAATGGTACTCTTTAGCTTTGATCAAAGTGTTAGGCTTAATGTTTTATCAGCCAATGATAAAAAATTCCTGGACGATACCTGTTACCACCATAACCTGCCAACTCGCACTGTGTACATGAGTGCCTTGGGTAGTGATATTTTTTCAGCGTTTTTTACGAACCGGCAAAAACCGACAAATTGCTTACATTTTTCGATTCTCACTTTTTCACATATAACATACTTATTACAATGTAGCATCACATGAAACTTCAACCCCTGAAATGCCATAGATTTTCAGATACAGAGCATCTTTAAAAAGTCTTGTGAACGAAATAAATCAATGTGTCGAAATTTCAACATTATGAAATGGCAAAGCAATAATATGGTCAGTTCATGAAACAAAACTGTACTGTTTCTCAGGGATGCTGTGCTTTCCCAACTGACAAAGTCACTATCAAACAAAAACGATTGTATATTATATAGATGAAGTTATCTAAAACCTGTGAAATGTGGAGAGAGAGAGAGTTTATTAATTTTATTTTAAAAGTGACTTTTACTGTGCCTCATCATCATGTGATAATATGATTCATAATGTTGCTGTTGTACAAGTAATAGATTATGCACACATTGATCCTTGTGGTAACCTTAAGCCTAACTTCTAACCTAATTAACAGTCGCTAGCCTTACCACTGTCTAATACTGAACCCCTTGAAAATAAGTGGCTAGTTTGTAAACTGAGGGAAAAATGCTTGAGGCGCATGCAAATCATGAGTTGTTTTTATACTGCAATCCAAATGATGTGCATTTCTACCTCCTTAAGAATTCCTGTTACACTACAAATTCATTAATCAAATTTATCTTGTATGTTCCTTTCAAATGACATTATTTTTAAATTATTTAAAAACAGTCGTGAAAGTGTGTGTAATGTGGACAGTCTTTAAAACATTTTGTCTTTTTTTGTGAGAAGGATATTCTTGCCTGTCACTATAGACATCAAGGTAGCAGCCCAACGAGAAGATAGAGTTCACCACTCCAGGTTGGTTTATTTTGATCTTTTTAAGGCACAAGGAGTTCCATATAATTATATTGTTAGTTTGCCATGTTTTTAGGAAATGGCTTCATTACAAATCTAAGCAAATCTATCCGTCTTAAACTAGTTTCAAATAAGAATTAAGACTTTGGTACAGAAACCAAAAAGCACAAAAACAAAAACAGAAAATTTTCTTAATGTCCTTGACTGTTGTATCTATTGTCCCATTTTGGAATCAAGCTGTCAAGTAAACATAAACATATGAACTAGTATTGTATGGCTTCAGTGGATCGACTTGAAGATGTTTGTTAACTCCAGTTTCTTCTGTATTTTTAGGTTCTATATTATTCTATGCAGTTTGTTTACAGAAGTTTTAATGTCACTGAACATAAAACAGATGATGAAGCTGTGTCAATGTGGAAACTACATGTAACTTACAGAGCAATTTCTCCAGGCCATTTTTTTACTTTGGTTTTACACTAACTAGAAAAACAATTAGGCTTTTAGGATTACTTTAACAGCCATTAATTTTATTTTCTGTCTAGGTTCAGTTCCAGCCACACAGAGATGACGGTGACTATCAAGAGGCCTTTCTAATTGATAAACCCATTCCAAGTGATTTAGTGCTTTTGTTTGAAAAGCTTGATGCCCCTAAGGAAAATGATATTATGCCATTTCATTTACTTAAGTAGAACCATTTCAAATTTATAACCAAAGTTTGGAAAATTTGCAAAATCCTTACTTGTATCTGATAGGCATCGCCATCTCTTGCCACCTCAGCATAACTTATATTTTTCACTACACTCAGGAATTCATACCAATTGGAACAGCTGAAAATAAGGACTCGCATATATGAAACTTCACCAATTCCGTCAATGATTTGCTTATTAAATTAATTTAATTTCATGTTTTTAATAGTTATTTTTTGACCCTTTATGTCAACTGAAGAGTATAAGTCTCTGGACTTCTTTTTTAGTGGTGTTTTATAATAAACCTGACTTGAATTGAATTGAAATATCCTAGAAATATCCATGAAATAATCGGCTTTGAAATGTCCCAATATCCTAATGGGAAACTCCTAAAATTCAGAATATTATGATGGAAAAAAGTGTTGGAATTTGGATGAGTCTTGATATATCTTACACCTGCAGCTCAAAGTTTTGGACTGCACGAAAATAGAGTAAATAAAAAACATGAGCAAAAAATAAACTGGAGGAAAAAAATGCAGCTCATTTTATTGAAATTATAACAGCTAAAATGAAATTATTACAGGCACATTTGGAAATTCCATTGCTCAAATAAATTATTTTAGTGCAAGAAATAACTCAATTGTAATGTTCTATACTGGAGTAAATAAAATGACATGGATATAATTACTTTGTCTGTTTATGTTTTGATGTATGTTAATGTTTTCTATATGAGAAGGGAATATATATTTAGGCAATACACTTTGAAATTTTTCACCCAGTAATTTTTACGATGGATGCTAATGGTGGGTTGTAAACAAGAATTCAGCACATGAAAACGATCTGGCTGAATTTTCACTTGCATTGTCAGTTCGTAGTATATACCAGCATTGCATCACGATGTTAACACTAGTATCATATTAGTTTTACAAAGTGACAAAATAGTTCATGCGTCAGTTTGTAAAACAAACTATTGTGCAAAATTTTAAGAAATGGTTTTGCGAACTGGAAACCTTTCTTTCACTTAAATATCTTCCCTTTAACAACATTCATGAATCAACACAGATTTATTTTGACACCACATTTTATTACCTGCGAATGTGAACATTACCCGCTAAAATTTTTCATTTGAAAACTCACAAACGTTTCAATTTTTCTCAAAATCTTGTTCTCGTACTTAGTGCATGTTTTGCCGGATCATAAGACACCAACGATTTTACAAACAATAAATGTGCATGCATGTGTATATAAGACTGGTCCAGTATGGTCTTTCAATTGCTAATTTCAATGAATAGGCTGGAAAATCTGTTAAAAAAAAGGAAAAAGTCTAGAAAAATTCATAACAAGGGTTTCCAAAGGGGAAATAGTCAACAGTGAGTATTGACAAAAATCTATTAAAGCAAGTAAAATGCAACCTATACATGTAATGAGGAGTGAACTGTCTGTAAGGATGAAAATTTCTCAATTGATTTATTACAGGTCTATGTACCAGTGTTGACAAAGTCAATTGTTTTACGCTGGGCTTTTCAGAAACTGGCTTCTGCTGCTCTACTGAAAGGGCAACTGTTCTGACTTGTGATAAGATGATCCCTATGCATGGAACATTAATAAAGCCTTTGAAAATTGTTTCTCAATTATGAAAACTGGAACTGACAAACAGTACTCAAGTTTACTTTGAAATGTTCTAATACCTCCCTCCTCCCCTCTGAAACGATGTTCAATGAATCACGCTAAATCATACTGGTGATGTTATCAAGATTCATTTGATTCTCTTTCTCCCTTTGCTGCTGCTTGAACCTTGCTGTGTTGTGTCCAGCTTGGTTTTCTTTGAAGGTGGTTGACTCTCATCTTCTGAAGAACTTTCCTAGAGAGCAAACAGTCAGTATTATAGATCAAAATACATGTACATGTAAGTGCACGGTAAGACAATCTCCGTTAGCCACACTGTGCGGCTATGGGACAGTTTGAGAGAATATGCACTGGTATGAGTGATTTAGAGATTTAAACACGTACATGTACATATACAGTAATCATGAAACTTAACAGAATTGTGATGAGGCAACTTGTTACAGTTTGGGTTCATGGAAGAGTTGGTAATGAATGTGATTACTTGTGCAACTTCAAGCGTTTCAGAAGCTTAGTTTGCCTGTCACTTTTGTCGGGTACTAGCAAATAATTTGTTGCACTTATGGGGAAATAATCTCTTTCTTGGGGCTTGATAGGGGCTCTGGTGTAGCAATTATTACTGTGTGTTTACGGTATTTGTGACTTGGGCAATTTTTAAAAATAATTCTGCATGTTCTGAGTGCTTGTCCACATACCTATTTGTGTGCATTTTACAAATTGTATTATGTACCTTTCATGGTTTTATTTTCGTATTCCGGTGACTTGGCACAGAAGACAAGAAATCCATATAGCCTGATCACCTTGTATTTGTAACTATAACAAACACATGTAGTGTATGACCTATGAAGCTTTTCATGGTGAAGGTAGCAAGTTACTAATAGAGGTTTGCAGTAGCACCATGTGTGGATCTCTTTCTGGGCATTTCAGAACCACACATGCTCAGAAGGAGATATCCTTGCATGATACTACTGCAAACTTCTATAACTATAGCCTAGTATTTATTTTATTTGCAGAAAAGCCAATGGGACGAAATTTACAGAGGCAGTATTGTGGGAGTCATTCACTCACAAGTAACTGAAAGAGATACCCAAATGTTTTAGGCATGTTTAAGTTTTATTTTTAATTAGTCAAAAGAGGAGAAATTCTGTTGATGACACATTGACTACCCCAGTACATGCAAACTTCAAAGGTTTTCTGATTCTTAAGGATACAATTCAATTTGAGGGCAAAAGGTTACATTTGTGATTGACTGCCCCAAATTATTGCTAGAGACTAAGGAATATGATGAACATGTTTCTTGATGAAATACCTTGCACAAAACAAAATGCCCCAAAGATGCCGCAACATGGAAGAGTGACGTAGCCCTCTCCTACCAAAAGTTGAATAAGCTGCTAGACCCCAAACCTGGATATATGCAACTGGTTTGAGTGGTGTGGTAAAACTAACCTCTCAAAGAGATCTGTTAAGCAGATCATTTGGAATGCTGAATAAATCATTGATGGGGGATCTAATAGGGGATAGTTTTACAGCATCACAACATAAAACAATACAATACAATGCTATACTGAAGACTGCTATATCAAATATCCGGGTGTACCTTACATTCCCCTTGGCCCTCAAGTATTCCATACATTTTTACTAAACGTTGGAAATTTGCTTTGAAATAAAAGAAATATAAATGTATGCAGGACTAATGATGATGACTCAGAAGTTAATTACATGTGTAATATTTCTTGTGAAGGATCAAAAGCCATCACGTGGGGTAGTCAATGGGTGCATGCACAATACTTGTGCATTCATCTACAGGTGGCCATGTAAACCAGCTGCAAAGTATGTGCACCGAGGGTGACTCTTAGGCAGGAAATTTTGCTTCATGCCATTGCTACATAGTAAAAGACTACTACCTAAAAAAAGAAAATAATTAAAAAATAAAAAATGAAAAAAATGCACATGCGGTTTGACAGATTAACATTCGTAATATAACCTCAGAATTCTTTGTTAAAGTTTTGATGGGTGTCATTTTAACCCTTGCTGGACATTTGTTGCATTTCTAAATTCCAACATGTATCACTAAACTGCCAGTGCTATTATATAAACCAGTCTCCGGTCAATTCATTAAAGCTCCAGTTTAGCGGTGGGAAACAAGAGTCACTATATAGAATGTCACAAGCAATGACTCAAGGAAAACTTATTTCACCTCATGACTAGAGAACACTCCACAAGGTGGAGAAGGGTAGGAAGAGAACATGAACTAAACCGAATGCACTAATTCCAGTGCTATCACTTCTTTACATATAAGCTGGAAGTTCTGGCAAAAAATCGCCACAATTTGCCACATCATGAATGGGGCAGAGCCAGGTGCTGGTACACCGCGGATTGAAAATCACTGTACCAAAAAACCAATATACAAAACACTTTGTGTAGATCCCATCATATTTGTTATACAGACATTGTATTCTGCATCCATGTTCTGTAAAACAGTAAAACCTTAACTGGTAGGTTCTGCAGAGTTTGAGAGAAACCGATCATATTGGTATTTCTATAAAAATGTTTTAACTCACAAGAGCATGCACAAAATATCCAAAATCCTGGGTGTTCATGACAGTAATATAAGATAATATAGCTGCTGAGTCTGCATTGGTAAAGCCATTTTTGGAGTTCACAGCATAATTGTGACCCACTCTGTGACTTAATTTTTCATAATTTTTTTTTACATTTTTTAAACTGTTAATCATTTTCCATACTCATTTTATATTCCCTTCTGCTGATATGTGATGCCTTTAGATTATTGTAAATGGGATTTTATCAGCGACCCTGATGTGGCTTCCTACCCTGTTTATTTCAATTGAATAAACCAGAATAAATAAATAAATAAAATGAGTCACAAGTCCCCAGAGCCACTTTGGAGTAAAAAGTCCTTTAGAATAACTTTGCACAGTGTAAATCAATAGGAACCCACAGCATTTTTCACCATGGAGTATCCACTTTCATCAGGATGCCAAACTGAGTGATACATCAAAACAAAAAACTCAATTTGTTCTTTCCAATACAAAAGAAAACTCAAAAAGTGGATCTGGCGACTTATGACTCATTTCCACAGAGCGGGTCACAAATAGTCAAAACCACACAATTTGCTTGTGGTATTTTTTAATCGGTACAGAATCTGTGGGAGATAGAAGGTAATGAAATGTTACTATTGCTGCAAAAGCCATGACACTACAGTTATGTAGATATAAGGAATACATTCACTTTTGTTGTCAGCTCGCCTGGTTCAAGGTCATTAACTTCTGTATTCCACCTCACATACATGTATGCTCAGCCCCTCACTTAGTTGGTGTGCATACGTACTGAATCCCACTACACTGGCAGAAGCCAGTAAAATGGCTCTTAACTCAGACAGGTGGACCCCAAGAGTAATGGATCAACAACAAGCTCAGACAAAGTTCTTTGCCCCTCTTTTCCCTACCAGTTAGAATTTAAACACTCAAAGTCCCTTTTACTAACTTGCAAACTATAAAAATTTATTTTCTGCCAAACTTTTGGCCGTCTTTGTCAGATACCTCCAAAGTAACAGGGTCAAAAGTGAAGGCAACATTTGTTTCAGTTTAGCAGGATTTTTCCTGACTATTCTCCACTTGTGAATGGAGAGGAATATCATGAACGCTCTAATGAGAAAGTATCATACAAGAAGGAAACCGTATGAATGAGAACGGAATATTTTTGTTTGTGCCTTTTAGTCGGGCAATTTGACGTGATTATACACATTTGTGCTATGCAGTAGGCCAAGTCATACCCAAACGCACACAGGGGTGTGTACGTGTACATGCACGTGTGCACCATGCCCAAACTCTGGACATCTCTTTTTTGACCGCTGCCAAACTTTTTCCAAGGAAATTTGAATCTGCATGAAAAACGAACCACATTTCAGACAAAGGGCTCTTGATCTTGAAAAAAAAAAAAAACGAGCTGATAGATACAAACAATTTATCAGTCTTCCAAACATTATCACTGATGACCTGAGGGGAATTCGACACAAGCGTGAAAATTGGGCACTAAGTAAGGTAAAGAACACAGAAAATGACAAAAATGGGTCCCAACGAAAAACGGAGTAAATTTAAAAAAAAAGTTTCCTTCCTAGAAGTGATAACCCTTTTTGTACATAAGAGTTACTAGTCATTCATGTGGCATCAAAGTTACTTGAAGGTAAACTCGGCAAAATTGTGAAAATTAGACACAAAGCTAGGTAAAAAAACGATATTTTTTTATAATTATACTTTGATCTAAAATTGACATTTTCCACTTTCTTTGATTATTTTCTGGCGATCTTTCTTTCCAGAAGCTATTAAATATCATTGTTCGATAGACTCTTGGTAATGTATTCACACATGAGGTCTTCAGACCTCCAATTCGGACTTACATGAAATTACATAAGTCACGGCTGAGAGACCTTGAAAAGAGAATCTTGCCTGTGCACCATGCCCTTAATGCCTCAATACATTTTTCTGTGCCAGAGTAAGTCACATTGCTGTAACAGTGCTCTCACTACTCTGATGCTTCTTTAGACAACGTGTCAGTATGGAGCTACGCAATACACGTAGTAGTGTACATTTATCCCAATGATGCCCCCTAGAAGCTGATGTCCTGGAGCTGACGACATGACAGCTCAAAACAGTCAATGAAATGGAAGCCCAGCAGCAAACGAATGGTTCCCAGAATGGTTTGTCAAGTGGAATGAGGCACTGAGAAATCGCAAACAATTTCTTGGCAAGAATTTGCCAAAACGGATAAACTTGCCATGGCAAAAGCATTGGAAACTCTTTATATCAGCCATCCTCAATCCACCAGCCACAAAGAGATTATCCATTAGAGTGATGCCACAGGCCAGGAGGAGCAGCTGTTTTACAGTTTTGAGAAATTGAACTGGAGAATGCTCCAACTGCTTCTGCAGTCAATGAAAAACTGGCAATTGTCATAGACGAAACATCGTACATTAGTATGAAACAAGCTGCTTGAAGTCAAGGCTGCATAAAAGCTTCAAGCCCTCCAATGCCCTTTTAACGTCTACATCCTTGACTGTATACAAGTCAACCCAGAAACATGGAGTTTGTTAAAATCGAAGACCCAGTCACAGGATACTTAACTTCAACAAGTTCAGCAAGAGCTAATGAAGGGCGTAGTGCCTATTGTGGGCGTCATTTATTCCCTAATGGCGAAAAAGGTGAAAGTATCAAGTTACATCAGGCTGCTGCCATGCTTGGCCACACAAACCTCAAACTTAACATGTGATCATGGCGACGGCAACTGATTTACAACTTCGTGGCAGGTCTTTTTCAGCGTTGATGATGCTGGGCCGGTATGACTATCATTTTTTCCGTTTTCAAAATCCTTCAAAAATTCATCATTCCATTTAACAGTCGTTTATAGCCACACAAAGTAATCTTTAGGCACTACTCTAAGTTGACTGGTGACCTTCATTGACGCCCGAGTATTTCAGCCAGGCCTGCAGCCTTGTAAACAGAGCCCAGATTGTACGGTGTTATACAACTGTCTTTTGTTCACGAACCTGGCTCAGTGCACTGCTGACCTCTTTTCAATAGGGGCCAGATTAGTGTGCAGCGGTGCTGTGTGGCTCATCGCTGTGGTGGTGGAGCACTTTTGTCCCCGGTGGTAATCCGCTTGCTCTCAATGCCCCAAACCCTGGTATACGGTTTCAAAATAACGCTGGATTATCACCACTTTTGAGAGTGAAAAATGCCGGTAATGCCCAGCAGTCTGGTCTTTTGTTCGGAGTACGGTCTTTCATTATAGGGCCCTGTTTCCTTTGTCCGAGTTCAGAGACCCCGGCCACACATATAAACCATACGGCTCCGATTTCGGAGTCCCCGGCTGGTAGTGGTTAAACTGACCTCAATAGGCAAGTTTGCAGTCTTTGCTCTCCTCATGTCCAATTTCAATTTCTGTGATTTGAGAAATTGCACGTCAAACATGTATGTGCTTCAAGACATGAAGACTAAACAACGTGTGCAAGTTTATGAGATGTGCAGGACAATTTACAGGATAACATTATTATTGTGACATCAGTTTTCCCTATGACACATCCCTGTCTACCTACAAACCAAAAAATGAACCCAAGTGAATTTACAGCCCTCAAGTTATACAACCTTGAGAAGTGCACCTTTAAGATGATCTAACCCTTGATGAGGGTTTCATCACTTCAACTCGATTTTCACCAACACATCCACTTGTACTCACATGCTAAGATTGAACCCAATCAGTCTTTCAGTTCTCTAGTAATAGGACCTTACATGATCTTCAATATGTCACATGAGACAAAATGATGTCATCAAGACATCACCTTCAATTTAATCTATAATACACCTCAGCCTGCCTGCAAGTACATACCAATGAAAGAACCAAATTGGACAGACAATTCTCTAGTTATAGGACATCAAGTGATCACCTTTAAGATGACATCAAATGACCCATGAGAACATCATCATAACATAATCTTGATTTTCATCTGTAAGACATCCCTCCCTAGATACAAACAAAATTGAAACCTATGCATGGTTGTCTAGTTATAGGATACACTTTTGTCACGTGACCCCTGATGACATCATAACTTAACCTTAATTATCATATGTACAATGGTAAGACTGGGGAATATAAACTACTCACGAAATGATCACAGGAGGTTTTGAGAGCGCCACAGCAGTGTAGGGTCTATAGTACACATTTGTGTTTTCCTGAAGGTACCCCTCAAACTACATATTCCTTGTGTTCTATATCAACCTTTATACCGGTACATGGATTTTCAGGATTTTAAAAGAGATTTTTTGAAAAATCCTGAAATCAGGACAGTTTGAATGAAACTATCCTGAAATACAGAAAAATCCCAACAAATCTCAACCTTGTCTATAGAGGCTATGTGTTGCTGGAATCTCCATGGTGTCTCAGAGGCTGTATTTACACAGACTGCACAAAGGTTGACTTGAGCCTATCATAGTGATACAAAGCTCTTGCCCTCTGAGGAGGCTTTCACATGTTTAACTCATAACCTCTATATCGCATTCCCGTCCACATACATTCAAAAATAGAACCAAATAGGACTGCATTTCATGCTCCTGCACTTCACTCATCTGCATGAAAAGGAGTTCAGTTTATTGAATGAATACTGAATGGACAACACAGAAAAACAAAGACTTGATTCCATGTTTTATTACATTTCTTTAGTTCTTGATCCCATTATGTCATGTGACCCCTCCCCATAATGTCATCATGACGACACTCCAATTTTCACCCAGAGTACCTCACTCTTTGAGTCCATGCCAAGTTTCATCCAAGTCAGACTTATTAGTCAGGAGATATTGACATGCAAGAATTCAACATAGCAGGCTTGTCACATAACCTCTGATGATGCCATCATGACCAAACTATTCTAGAATAATCTATGTATAAAGATCATTCCTTGATGTAACTTTGACGGAGATGAAAGATTGCAGAGTGGCTAAAGTTGCCCATGAAAACTGTACAATGTCAATGGGTTTAAGTAATTATCCAAAATCTTATAATAAATTAAATGATGAGGCAATCACAACGTACTTGCACATGTCATTCTAAGAACAAGTTGTACCTACCTACCAATTTTTATGTCAATCGGAGATCAACTAGTATGTTATAAAAATTGTCAGTTTTGATCAATGATTTTGTCATTATGTCAGAAAATTGTTCAAACTACACAAACATCTATTTGGCCTACCTGAGTTATTGCAAAAGAATTTTGAAAAAACTTTCTTTCAGAAGATACACTGAAAAGAAGGTTGAATAAAGAAAATTAAAAATTTAAAAAAAAATTAAAATAATACTACGATGTCTAAGGGGTTTGTGTCTGTGGAAAGTTTCATCCCTGTCAGGCATATATGTCTGGAGATATAGGCTTGTAAAAATTCAACTTGAGGACATGTCACGTGACTTGTGATGATGTCATTAGGATGTCACTCTTCCATGAGGTCTCTTTAAGGTCTTACCTGGGTTAAGCTTCATTGGAATATGGGTTTGTTTACAGTTAGAATTCCAGGGAAGAAAAACATGTACACAGCAAATGAGTTTTGGGGGAGAAAAAGAAGGAAAAGGAGAAGGATCCTCATCTTGCAAAAAGGAAGGCTTTTCAGAAGTATGCAGAAATGCCAAAAAAACAGAAAGCCATTTCAGCAGGAAAAACCTTTAAATTTCAGTAAAATACAGGAGCTAAAAAAGAGATAATCTTTGTTAACTTGTGTAACATTGAGACAATCCCATGGGCTTTTACATGTTCACTAAGTCCTTTCTTACTCCTGGGCTTCAATATCAACTGCCTATGTACTTACTTCTTCTGAGGTCGAAGAGGCTTTATGTAGGGCCTCCTGCAGTGTTTGCTGGTTGATACGAAAATCCCTGGAAGTACTTAACTTTACATGTTGCATTAGGTCAACCTCAAAAGAGAAGACACAACATTCAAAAACTTTGACAAATTAAAGGCATACAAGAAATGACTGGACTACACAATGACTCAGCTACATGCATACTGTAAAAATGTAACTTATCATTCTAGTATCACCAATGCAAATGGTAAAACCCAAATTTCTTTTATCAAAGAGAACTCAACATTTGCTCACATTTATTTGTCAAAAAACTTATACTTTTATTAGTACAAAAAGCCTTGTAGGCCTGGGTATCGTCCACAAGCAAATAAAATACCACTTGCAGTGAATTTACAATTTTAGGAATATAATAAACATATTCAGAATCAAAACAATTATCATGACTAACTACAAGTATGAAAGGCAGTCAGATGAATAAACACTAGATGACTGTCCTAAAATCAAGGGGGTCATCTCAGCATAGTTTGCACTGCACTAAAAAACATGCCTGTGCACTGTAATGGTAAACCAAGATTTTCCAGATTTTGAAAGAGTTGGTTGAAAAAAAATCCTGAAATCAGGAAAAATCCCGACAAAAAAATCCTGAAATAAGGAAACATCATGACAAATCTCAGCCCTGATGAACAGTGCCCAAGGACAGAAAGGTGTGTGGCTGGGAAACCACCTATGACTACCTTCATGCTTGATCTTCCTTCTTAAGACAAGAATAAAGAACCTAAATGAAATCATGCTAGTTACACTCAGGTCAATGTGCTCCCTCTTTGTCAACTGCTCATTTTCTTAACTGCAAGCATCATTCCCGCTGATCCCTAACCACCAGCAAAAAATAAATGCTACATTCCTTTTGATGGGGTGTATCTGAGTGTACTTACTTTGGATTTCTTTGACAGTTTGATAAGAAACTGTTCAAACTGTTCAATTGTAAAGATCAGTGCTGGAATTCCTCTGGTCTCTCTCATCACTCCCTTGGCTTTGCTATCACCCTCTCCTCTCTTCTTGTCCTTTACTTTGCCTAATTTCATTAGTCGCTCACTCTGCGATGTCTAAAAGATCACAAAAAACTTTAACAAGTCATATTACACATTTAATATTTTGATGTTAACCACTTCGAACCGGGGCATTTT